TGATAAAAAGCCAAGTACCATAAAGGAGAAAGACATGCAACTTTATATTACTCCTTCCCAAGTCCACTTCTCAAACCACACTGGATTCAGGTTTTCTTTCTTTTTTAAATTTTTTATAGAAATGCCAGCAAATCTTGCCTGCTTTCACTGTCAGTGGTTGCTCTCAATCAGTTTATGGCTTTGGTGTCTTTTCCCTCAGCTCCTGAAATAGTAGGAGAAAATACTCCTTTATCCTCCCTCCAACATATTTAAGGAAGATGAGAGAAGAGCTTATTAAAGTTGAGGGAAAAAAAATTGTTAGAAAGCAAATTGTGCTAGCAATACTGATCTGAAGATAGTCAAGCTCTTACTGAGAGAGTGAAAAGAGCTTGGAAGAAAATTGCTTTTGGAATTAAAGAGCAGAATATCATACTTGTTGGGATATTTTGCCATTTCTAGTCTCGCTCATACTTTTTGTTTCCCTACTCAGCTCCTATCGTAAGGAAGACACTGACAAATAATGGAAACTAATTAAGGAAAGCACTTTCCAAGGTTATGCCCTTTTGTCAATATACTTTAAACCCAATGTCTTAAATACTATGGCACATACATAGTATACCGGGGCAAAGTTATGAACACTTCTTAGTCATAACCAAACACCTTGAGAGAATGATTTTCTGGGCATGAGGGCTCAGGACCAGAGTCTAGGAGGGCACTAAAGTCAATTGACATAACGTAGTTCTCAAAGACAGTATTCTCCATCCTATTTTGGTGAGTAGCTTCTGGGGTCTTAAAAATTTGTGAGTGGCCACCTAAGGTGCAACAGTTGATCTCTCCCCATCTGGAGCAAAGAAGAGTGAAGAAAGTCAAAGATGCAAGAAAACAGTTAACCAAAGGACTAATGGACCACATGACCCCCAGCCTCCATAGCCCTGAGACCAGAAGAACTAGATGGTGCCCAGCTACCACTGCTGACCACCCTGAAAGGGATAACAATAGGAGATCCTAGATAAAGTGGGAGAAAACTGTGGAACAGAACTCAAAATCATAAAATAGGCTAGGCTTACTGGTCTGAAAGAGACTTGTGGAACCCCGAGACTATGACCCTTAGACACCTGTCAAGCTAGGAACTGAACTCAACCCCTGTGGCTCAACTTTCAACCAAACGGTAGACTGGCCTATAAGGTGAATGCTATTATCAGAAAGGTATGCAGTCATCATAGCAAACAACCATACTAGATCAAAAGAGCGGCATCTGCCCAGGGAAAAAGCTCAAAGGCAGGAAGGGATAGGAAAGAAGGAGAAGGGAAATGATAAACACAGGAAGGAAGTAGGAAGAGTGCTGTTGCATTGTGGAGATTGCAATGAATGTCATAAAACAAATGAGTTGTTGAATGGAAAACCAATTTGATCTCTAAACTTTCACCCAAATCACAATTATGTATACATATATATATATAGAGAGAGAGAGAGAGAGAGAGAGAGAGATACACACACACACACATACATTTATACACACACACATATATATATACACAAGGGAGCTCTGGTAGCGTAGTGCCTAAGGCACTTGACTGCTAACCAGTAGGCTGGTGGTTCGAACCCACCAGCCACTCCTCGGAAGGAAGATGGGGCAATCCACCTCCATAGTGATACTGCCTCGGAAACCCAAGGAGGGGTTGCTATGAGCCGGGTCCGACTCGACGGCAACATAACAACAAACATATATACACATACACACACACATATAGTTAAAATGGATAATTAATTACTGATTAAAAGAAAAAAAAACAGATTTTCAAAAACATTTTTCATGTTCAGAATACTTTGTTTTCTAAGACAGGGATGTTTCATCATGTAAAAATATTTGGTTCATGTAAGTATCATTGGCCTTTAAAGTATTCCCCAGATACTTTGGAAAATGAAGATGCTACTATATTATTTTCCTCATGCTTGTTCTTTAAATTTCTTTATTATTAGCCTTCATTGTTCTATTGCTGCCTTTTATTTACACATAATAATAAATGAAAGAGGAGGTATTTTTCCATGAATTATTTATTGCAATAATAAACAGCCATATAATTGTATAAATATATAAAGTTCTGATGAAATATAAATGTATCTGTTATGTATATACCTACTTTCTAGATTCAATCTGACACAGCACAAAACTACACTATATACTACTCCATAAGAGGGCCTGGAGTTGACCGAGAACCTAAAAATTTATTTTACGTAGAAAGAGACACAGGAAACCTGTTTTGTACTCGTCCTATAGATCGTGAGCAGTACGAATCCTTTGAGGTAAAATCTAAAGCTTATATATTGTATTAGAAAGTATTATGCTTTGCCTTCTCAATTCATTTACCCTTTTTTGTTTTCTGAGTTTCTCATATTATGCTCAGGGTATATCTGATAACACACACTTAACTTGAGACAAAGGGAATTTTCATAGAAGAATCAATAACATTGAAGTCTATGTAGATTGTCCCTGATACTGTAGTTTTATTAGTTTTTTCAAGAGAACAAAGAGTGGTGCCACGTTGAAGAATGGCTATTTAGTTGGCAGAAAAGATCAGTGAACTTCTTTATGGTATAGAAATACCATAGGAGGTAAGTGAGGGACAGATACCATACTTCAGTGTCTCTGCAGTGGAAGATGGCTAACTTGTGGTGAGCAAATAGGAAGTGTGGTTAGTGCTTTATTGGGATCATTTAATCCTTTAATCATCTGGTTAACTTCCCACAGTGGAATGATAGTTAATAGGTAAGAGTTTTATCAAATTGTGTTTTGGTTTCCCAATGGGACCTAGTCATTTTGAGCAACTCAATTTCAATGATTTCACATTTATTTTGAATGAATTCATTATCAGTAGACAGAAAACTATTATACACCTGAAAACAATACAGCAATGGTGAGGAACTTAAAATGTATGCTATTAAATTAGATAAAGTTATGAGATTGATGCATTGCCTAGTGTGCTAAAAAGGCACTTTAAATTTGATAAATTTTAACATAAAGTGCTGTCTTACACCAAGAATTTAACCATCTCTTTTGTCATTAAAACAATAACAAGTGGTGAGAATCACACTACAGTGCCAACATTCTCCAAATTAAAGCCTAAACAAATTTGAAACATACCTTATTTTAATAGACTACTTTCATTCTTTCCTTCTCACAGCTAATTGCCTTTGCAATAACTCCAGATGGGTATACTCCTGAACTTCCTCTGCCCCTAATAATTAAAATTGAGGATGAAAATGACAATGCTCCAATTTTTACAGAAACAACTTACATTTTTACAGTTTCTGAAAATTGCAGAGTTGGTGAGTACCACTTTAACAGATGTTCTTCTTGTTTGTGGCTGTCAAGTTGGGCCCCTTCTATTCATGATGACCCCAGGCACAATGGGATCAGACCGTTGTGATCCATGGGGCTTGCATTGACTGGTTTTTAGAAGCAGATCTGCATACCTTTCTTTCTATTAGTTCTTAGCCTGGAAGCTCTGGTGAAAACTGTTCCGCATCGTAGCAATACATGAGCCTCCAGTGATGAAGGAGGTAGCGGCAGTTCAGATGCATTGGCTGGGAACTGAACCCGGGTCCATATGGACAATAAGAATCCTACCACTGAATCTTGATACCCTCTACTTTAACAATATTGTTCTTTTTGTTAGTTGCCGTCAAGTCGATTGTGTCTCATGGCGACCTCATGTGTGCTTAGTAGAACTGCTCCACAGGAGTTTCAAGGCTGGGGACTTACAGGAGGGCCTGTCCTCCAGTGTGCTTGGGTTGATTAGAACTGCTTATGTTTTGGCTAATAAACAAGCATTTCATTATTAGCCTCATGATGTATTGCACCTTAAATATGTTATAGTTAATAAGATAAATTTCACTATGAAATGGTGGGATGTAGCATGTCCTGGTGGCAAGAACAACGCACTTGCTAATCAAGATGCATTTGGGTGGAATTTTACTCAGCCTTTCAATAGCTGTGTGTGACTCTGGCCAAGCTTCTTAATCTTGCCCAGCCTGTTTCTTCATCTGTAAAATGGCATTTTGGTACACAAAGTTGTTGTGAGGGTTAAATAATAGACATGGGGTGCCAAACACAGTGCCTGAAAAATAGGAGCCACGTAATAAAGGTTTCTTTGCTTTCCTGTGTGAGGTAAACCAGATTTACTTTTAAGAAAACATAAAACAAATAAATTTTTGAGCAATTGGAAACCTAACCTTGAAGATACCAGTTGATATTCTGTAGTGATTAAATTATTGACAATCTTATGGGCATTATATTAAAGATCATTGAAAATACTACAGCTATTTTCCCAGTCTTATAAAAATTTTAGCTGGAAGTTGAAATTCAGAATGCAGTTTCTAAGATTTCTTCTAGAAAGATCTAACTGAGTTAAGAATTTTCAGAGAAAACTGACTCAAATTGTGAATTGAAGTACAGCCATAATTTTAAAAGACTAAAGAATAATTAGAATTCTTTAGTCTAGAAAGACAAAGGCCATGGGAAGATATAATCAACATTTGTAAAACTATAAGGAGCTCTAGTGGCATAAAGGTTAAAGCATTTGGCTGCTAACCAAAAGGTCAGTGGTTCAAACCTGCCAGCCACTCTGCAGGAGAAAGATGAAGCAGTCTGCTTCTGTAAAGATTAACTGCCTTGGAAACCCTATAGGGCAAGTCTACTCTGTCCCATAGGGAAGCTATGAGTTGGAATTGACTAGATGGCTGTGGGTTGGTTGTTAGGTATAAAACTATAAATTAAATACATTAAATATATGTATGGTCACTAAATTCCAAAATGTTAGAACTTTGGGATATTAAATGGAAGTGATACTTAATGTAGAAGTTTGAAAATTTATGGAAACCATTACTCTGATATATATAATAAAGTTGTTGTTTGTTGTTATGTGCCGTCGAGTCAGATCTGACTCATAGCGACCCCTCCTTGGGTTTCCGAGGCAGTATCACTACGGAAGTAGTTTGCCCCATCTTCCTTCCGAGGAGTGGCTGGTGGGTTTGAACCGCCAGCCTTCTGGTGAGCAGTCAAGTGCCTTAGCCACTATGCTACCAGAGCTCCCAAACATATAATAAAGTAGTGCAACACTATTTTGATGTCATTAGAAGTGAATGAAATAGAAGGGAAAGTAGAAAATGTAAGATTTGGAAATTAAAGGGGATTTTTCAATATATAGGTTCGACTGTGGGACAGGTGTGTGCAACTGACAAGGATGAACCTGACACGCTGCATACACGCCTAAAATACTCCATCATTGAGCAGATACCACCATCACCCACTCTGTTTTCTGTGCATCCAAATACTGGTGTGATAACTACTTCATCATCTCAGCTAAACAGAGAGGTAATTTATAAATATGAAAATTAATAAAAAATTATAACATGACTAATAGTACTGGCATATTTTCTTTGATATGTTCTTTTTTTAAAGCATGTGGTGAATCTAGTTTTAGAAAAATTATTTAAAATATGTTGATGAAGATCATTTAATAGCCTTCCAGTATACTAATTTTGAAATATTAATTTATTCTCTACTAATTTGTGTGTTTCATAAACACACAAATTGAGATAAACATATTTGTAATATAAACACAAACTGAAAAAACCCATGCCTTTGAGTCTATTCCAACTCATAGCAAACCCCATTGGATTTCCAAGGCTGTAAATCTTTACAGACATATGTTGCCTCATCTTTCTGCTGTGAAGCAGCTGGTGGGTTTGAACTGCCAGCCTTCTGGTTAGCAGCCAAATGTCTTACCCACTACAACACCAGAGCTTCTTAATGTAGACACAAGAAATGTCAAATAAGGAAAGTGAAACATTGGGACATATGTGGAAATTTGCTATCTACAGAGAAAGAAATACCCCTTTTTCTGTCTCATCTTCAACAACCTCATCTAAATTCTCCCCCTTGAGGAGATGACGACAGAATCTATGTATCTCTAATCTCTAGTTTCCCCTTTTAAAGTGGTTGCTAGAAATATTTATTTGGATGTCTTATGGGTAATACATATGTTAATACTTATGGGTAATATATCTTAGATGTAATACATCTAAAAAATTCTTCTTTCCTTCTAAACATTCTGTCCTTCTCATGTTTTCTACTTAATTAATACTTTCTTTTCTTATTAATATTTTTTCTGTTTTCACCTTGGATTCATTCTGTAGAAATTGTATTAATGTCTCCTGTTGCTCCCTAGATCTACTTAGTTTCCAAAACATGTTTATATTACCTCCAAAATTGTTTTTCACATATATTTTGTAGTTCAATCCAGTGTATCTATCCTAATTTATTTATCCACTTATTCAACTATTACCTCTTCCACAAATCATCTATTCATCTGAATTGTTATAGCAGCTTAACTTTTCTCTTTACTGAATTATTAATCTTTAAATCTTTAAAACATAGTAATATTTGTTTATCAGGTATTTCTCTGATTCTTCAAACTTCCTCTCAGATCTTTTCTCCTCCCATTTCTTACCTTTCATGGATTAGTGCAGCACTTCTCAATTTTTTTTAGTGTTAGGACTCTATACTTTTAAAAATTCTCAATAAAAAAAAAACCCAAAGATTTTTCATTTATGTAAGTTATATTTGTTGATATTTACTACATTAGTATTTGAAACTGAGAAAAGTTTAAAATATGTTTTTTGTGTTTTTAGTAACACATTAAAATAATAATAAAGCCATTAAAGGTTGAAATAAACAACATTTTCATGAAAAAGAAGTACATTTTCCAAAACAATACATACTTTAGTGAGATGAGTGGCATTTTCAAATATTTAAAAAATTTTCTTTAATGTCTACCTTAATATAAGATAGCTGGTTTCTGCTATCTCCTTCTTAATTCAATCTGATGTAATGTGTAATTTTAGCTAAAGCATATAAAGAAAATCTGATCTGATATGGAAGTGTTTCAATAGTCATTTTAGATGATTGTGGATATTTATTGATACTACACCAAAACTTGACAGGTAGTAGTCTACTAGTTGTAATATGGATTCTGAAGCCATAGTCATAAGCTTTCATACTTTGCTACATTAAAATCGGTTGGTGCATCTTGTACTGTGAGTGAATTTTATTATTCACATATGATTTTGTAGCATCATGCATTGGTCATTTGGAAAATACTGATTCACTGAGTTATACCCATTTTCCAATAATGGACACATTTCAAGCTATATATTTTTTAAAAATCACATCCCCATACCTATTAATTTCACAATGAAGGATACGGATTTTCTCCAAATTTCTCATTTTTGCCTAAAAGCATGAATTCACCATTGGCAACAAATAGTTGTGTTCTTTTTTTTAAGTGACAGACTCACTTTACTTACGTTGGACACATGTCTGCCAAATACTTTAGTCTGAATAACCATAGTTTATCTATCACTTGTTCTTCCAAGTGAAAATGATATTCCATGGAAAACAATAAAAGCAGCTAGTCTGGCTCAGAAAGCAAATAATTGCCCACGTGCTCGTCCTGGAGCAAACCACGGTACTACACTGTGCAACAGAAGTGCTTTATGCATGCCTCCCACTTCTTCACGTAGAATATGGGTCAAAATTTAGGAAAATTCATCATTTTTATTACTTCTACAGGGATGTCCTTAACTGAAACAGAAATTTATTTGCCATTTATTTTTTAATTTATTTTTACTGGGAGTATGTGCCAGTGATACAATAAATAGATGTATAATTTGGGTCAATTATTTTTGTTTCATGCTAAGGTGCCAGCAGCTTTACTAGCCATTTTGTTGGCAACAATGCAAATATCAACACGGTGAAAAGGTTGATAGCATCTTAGAATTATTACAAAAAAATGTTTTGACCTCTCAAAACCCCTGCAAAGGTGTCTAGGCCCATGCATCACACTTTTAGAATCACAGACTTAGATTAACATCATGTGTATTTGAAATATTTGCTGAGTGAATGAATATATGAATTAATGCATTGCTGTGGCTCTGTAAATTAGACAGAGTCTCCATGGAATTTATGTGCTCAGGAAAAGCACATGAAACCAAATCTTTCATCCTCAAGTCTTGAATGTTGTTGTTGTTGTTGTTATGTGCCGTCGAGTCAAACCCGACTCATAGCGACCCCTCCTTGGGTTTCCAAGGCAGTATCACTACGGAAGTAGATTGCCCAACCTTCCTTCTGAGGAGTGGCTGGTGGGTTTGAACCGCCAGCCGTCTGGTTAGCAGGCAAGTGTCTTAGCCACTATGCTACCAGAGCTTGAATAGACCCTTCTAATAGAATTAGTTGTAAACGTTTGATGAATAAAGTCTTGGAATGCTTCTACCCAACAGTGCTTCACAGCAACCTTTTGAGCCTAAGATTTCAGTTTTCAGCTGTTGCCTTCAATTCTTTACACCCCTTAAACAACAGAATTTCTCCTCTGACTGAAGATGCCACAAATTAATATCGAGGGCCCCAAAACTTACATTCTTTCTTTGCTTTGTCAACCAGCTGATTATTTCTGATAAATCTTAATTCACTACAAACAAAATGTGTATCCCCTCCTGAAAGTACACTAGCATGAGATTTTACAAATTTTCTTAATTAAAAAAGACCATTATTTTTCAAGTTTACATATGTGATTGATTATTTGGGAAGAGTAAATCAGGAAAATTACATGTGTATAAATCTGACATCAAGAGAAATTTTTATTTTAGGGAACACCTACCTGGTGATAAGAAAGTTTCAGAGATAATGGAATGAAGGGAATAGAAAGCTTTGTAACAGAAGAGTGAATATTTTAGGTTCACATTTTCACATACTATTTTACCTATGAGAAGAGGTGAACAAGTAGGATAGATGTAATTATCAACACTTTATACATGAAGAAATCTAGGCAAAGAGAATATTTCAATAGCATACGCCAGAGATTGCATATGCTATTTTTGGATCTGGGAATAGAATCCAAATATCTGAATACGCAGTCCACAAGGCATTTTTATTAATGTTGTTTTTAATCCTTCTATAAGTCAATCACCATTGTGAGGAGACACTTTCTTTTTTTTTTTGAGGGGTGATGAGCCTTCTGCTTGGGATGACCTGTAGTTGTTGTTGTTATGTGCCGTCGAGTCAGACCCGACTCATAGCGACCCCTCCTTGGGTTTCCGAGGCAGTATCACTATGGAAGTAGATTGCCCCATCTTCCTTCTTTGGAGTCGCTGGTGGGTTTGAACCGCCAGCCTTCTGGTTAGCGGTCAAGTGCCTTAGGCACTACGCTACCAGAACTCCCTGAAATGACCTAGATACCAAAATTTAAGATTGATGGCTTAGTACTTAGTACTTAGCCCATAGTACAGTGAATGGGAAACCCTAAAGCTAGATTTTATTTTTCATGGAAAGAAAAAAGACTCTAGACTTTTGTTTCCATACTAATTTAATGGTCTTTTTTTTTTTTTTAAATAAATATCAAGTAAATCTCTAAGATATATATTTTTAATAATATTTTATTTTTGGTGGAAATACATTCAGCCAAACCCATTCCTGTTCTAAACATAATGATCAGAGACATTGGTTAGTTTCTTCACATTGTGTCAATATTTCTTATTTCTTTTCCAGTTGTTTCACTTCCATTGACTTAAACTCCCTGATTGTTCATCCCTCAACCTTCTGGTCTAAGATTCAAAAAGCTTTGACTATTTGGTCTTAAGTAAATAATTTTTTCAAAAGAGCGTAATGCCCAAGGGTGACAATCTTTACTTTTTAAGTTAAGCTGTTACTTAGGCTATAGGTGACTTTACAATTTCCCTTGATTGTTTTATTATTAAGACTGGTATATGAGTCACTGCTATATATTTTTGAACATAAGAATGTACTTTTGATAGGATATAAGATTTGGATTAATTACCAAGCAATTTTAAATGTACTTATGACTATATCTCTTTTCTACTGGATAAAGATAAAACCAAATGACTACAACCTACACATTTGAAACCCAAAACCAAACTCACTGCAATCAAGTCGATTCCAACTCATCATGACCCCCTTTGGGTTTCTGTGGTGGTAAATCTTTATAGTAGTAGATTGCTCAGTCTTCCTTCCACACAGTGGCTGGTGAGTTTGAACTGCCACCCTTCTGGTTAGCAGTCAAGTACCATAGACACTGTACCACTAGAGCACCTTACAAAGTTGATAGCACTTTAAATTTGACAAATGACTGTTTTCATATATTACTTGAGAATTCTAGTGTGAGGAAATTATTCTACTGCGAGTACACGAGAGAGAAAACATTTAATAATATACCTCTTAAATTATCAATGCAAAGAAAATTAGAGTGTAAATTAAGCTTCCATATACAGTGTTATTACTTTTATCTAATAATTCAATCTTTGTTTTCAGTTAATCGATAAATACCAGTTGAAAATAAAAGTACAAGACATGGATGGTCAATATTTTGGTTTGCATACGACTTCAATGTGTATCATTAATATTGAAGATGTGAATGACAACTTGCCAACATTTACTCGTAATTCTGTAAGTGTATATGGTATTGGTAAGAGAAAGATACGTAACCCAGTGTTACCTGCTGAATTTGCTCATCTCCATCCATGTCCCATGCTTTTAAATAAAGTATCCCCACTGACATGACAGCAGCTTAATCTTTTTTTTTTTTTT